AGAGTACTACAAGTTCTTTAATATCAACTCATGCATAACTTTAGTTTTAAAGGGAGTAGGGAGGCTTGATTGAAAAATTTTTGGTCTTGCCTTGCATTTGAAGTACATAAAATGGTATTAAGAGTGACTGTTGTCTTATATCTATTTTTGATATCCAATTGCCTGCTTTTTTGATACCTAGTACCAAATGTAGAACTGCCATCCCTCTGTTCAGAGAGGTTTCGCTCTGGACCACCTGGTGAAGAGGCTCAAGCAGCAAGCCAGTTCATTGCAGATGTGATTGATAAGTAAGAACCATCTTAGTGCATTTAAAACACAGACAACTCAGCAGGACAGTTTTCTGTTTCCTGGCTTATTCTCTGATCTTATTTTAGTTCACAGATGATAGTGAAAGAAGATCTGTGTATTGCAAATGGCAAGGTAAGTTTTATATTGAAGTGAAGAGGGGGATACTAACAAGATCTCAGTAATAAGATGTTAAAGAAGGTATCTGGGTTTATAGGTTGTTTTGTTGTTGTTTTGCTTTTCAGTTTTCATAGCTTGGTTGACATCTGAAGTGTAAAAATTGCAAGATAGAAATTGGTATCTGTATTCAATGTGGCCAGAATTTTCTTGCATATTGCACCATTTGCTTAGCTGCTGTGATATCTCACGTGTGCAAACTTTTTTTGATAGCTTGCTTGGGTGTTATACTGTGATATCATATGTCTGGACTATGATGGAAACCTTTTGGATGCCTTGGCTTTGTTAGCAGCATTAAAAAATGATAAGTCTTCCTTAGAGTAAGACACATGTTCTGATTAGTGTTGCTTGGAGAAATGCATTAGTTTTGAACCATGATTAATAGGTAACTGGTACACAGTCCGTTAGGACTGTTTGTTTCCTGTCATTTGAATGCTAAATTACTAAAACACAAAGTGGAAATGATGGTATGGGTGCCATAGGTGTGTTAACACTTGGAGAGACTATATTCCTGTTTTTTATATAGGCTTTTTGGGGAAAAAATACTTTTTGTTAAATATGACTCCAAACTATTTTAATTGCATGGCATTTTGGAAGTAGAAAATGCTTCTGTGCAAGGAGAAATGCTTCTATTACTTTGAGGAGAAAAATCAAATACTTCCTTGAACAGGTAGTCCTAAGCTAAATACTTGGCTTGAAATCAAGAGTACCATTAACATAGCCAAAACTCTGATTGATTTTTGGTTGGTTAAAAGAACAGCTTAAATATTTCAGTAGTCTTGGACATCTTTAGGACTGCTAAACCTAGCAATGTTTAATATTAGACCACTGTAATTTTTTTATCTCTTCAGTACAATTGCCATCGGTTATTATAAAAGAAGAAACTGGTTTATCAGAAGTGAATTTAAAACAGAAGACTCCTTTGATTATCAGAAAGCATCCAGTTGCCACATCATTTGCTGTATTTGATGAGTAAGTTCATAACTGTTTTGTACTTATGGAAACAACTGTGTCTGTAAAAGTTTGAGTGAAAGACAGAGGATGCTACCAGTGATGCTTCTGCACTTCTAGTGATGAGTATGCAGCATCAGGCAGTGCTATTTAACTTGTCTTAAATCCAGGCCTCTCTTGTTGAACTGACCTGTAGTTCTGTGATGCGAATAATATGCAGAACAAAACACATATATAGCTTCTTCCTGTTACTTGAAGCAGAACTGTTCCCCAACCTAAAAGATATGCTTAAAAGTACAGGGGTAGGTATTGTTTTAGTTTTTTGTAGTATCCGTGAAATGAAACAATGTTACCAATGCAATTAATGTTTTAGAAGCCTATGTAAATAACTGATATAAAAGATGGTAGTTTTTGAACAGCTTATACTAATGATGTAGTCAACAGAGCAAGTAAGAAGTAACAGTCCAGTTAGAACAACATAACCTCTGGATAACTGAAAATATAATTACCCAAGATTACGCAGCATTCTTAAGTCACTGTTCGTATAGGAAAATAAGCAAATTATGAGATTTCAAAATAATCACATCTGATAATTTACTCCTCACCTGAAATTGTTTACTGGCTCTTCATTAGTCCAAGTATGTTAAGGATATTTTCTGCTGCTGTTTATAAGAAATGCAGTCATTTCTGGTGGCATCCATTTGAAAGCAGAAAATGACAAGGACAGTGCTCACTGTACTATGTAAGATTTAGGTCTATTTAGAGATATCGGTGATTTATGGCACATTAATCTGTATTCACAGAAGTGATTAGCAGGGCCTTTCACTCAAATAAGAGATAGGGTGGGGAAAGCAATAAACTGAAATGTTGACTAAGTGATTACCAAAATGAACCAGAACACAATTTTATCAGTACTTTAGAGTGCCTGTGTTAATTGCTTTAATACCAGTTCTGATGGGTCTGAAGTTTGATGTAGACTGAAAGTGAGAGAGGTTGGGTAACATACCAGACAGACACACAAATCACACTTACTTACACATAGATGAAAAAATTGCCTTTGTAAGAAAGCTTTCCATGCATGTCTCTTGGGCTTTGTTTCCTTCACCAAAATCAACTGTTGCATCAAACAAGCTACTTAAGTCTCCCTTTAGCTCCTAAAACTAAATATCGAGGGGGTGTGTGCCTATGTTGTGTGGTTTGTTTAATTCTCATTTATTAGTTCTACAGCTGTTGACACAGCCCTCTAAATAAAATGCTTTACATACTCTGGCATTCAGAGGCATTTTTATTCTGTATAAAAGCCCTCCTTAAATAAATAAAACTTGTAGGTTACTGGATAGTGCGGCCATGGGTGAGGAGCACTGGTGCAGAATGTGGTGCAGCTCCACAGCTGGCTCCTGGGGTGTTGACTTGTACATAAAAAACAAATGATGCATTGAACTTTTCACATGTCCCTGCATCACACAAAGGGCTGATGTGTCACAGTGCATGGGGTTAGACTTCAAAAAGCAGCATTTTTGAACAGCGTAGCTAAGGACTTATGTTTTTGTTACTATTGCTATTAAATGGCAATCTGAAATACTGGTGAGGTTTTAAAGTTCAGCTTTAAGTTCAAGTTTTATTTGTTGAACAAAGTTGGCTTATAGTTAGATCCTCTTTTTTTTCCATTGATTTTGCTCTATTTTTAACTTAAATGGTTCAAAAATAAGAGTATTTAATCTCTCAAAGATATGCATCATGTGATGTATGACAAGTTTATATTTTGGATGCCTTAAGGACAGTCAAACACCCTGTAAATCCATTTTTTTAACCATTCCCAGGCTGAGTGATATTAGAGTTCTCTGACAAGAAACTGAGAACTACTTTGGTGAACTTACCATTGGAAATGAGTTTTGCATTAAGGTGGAGATTAGTGCAGCCTACACCCTGTATCAGTCTTCGTGTAACTACAAAATAAGTGACTGCATCCTTCAAATGGCAGTTTAGTGGCATTTTCCTGTAAGACACGGATGTCACAAATCTAGGAAACTTTAGGCATAAAGCTGCATTTTCAATAGACATATACACTTGATTATGTGGAATTTCCCATATTTTTTGACTTTTTAATTTTTTTTAAATTGGTGCACTTTGCTAAGAAAACAGGTAAGCCTGGGCACTAAATCCAGCTGCAAGTATTTTGTAAGACTACAGTAAAAATTAATGTTACGTGTATTTTGCAATAATGTTAATGGAGCAATATGTACAAACATGTCTGCACGTGTTTTGCTTTCACAAGCACAGTACTCATTGTTGATCCAACTGCTGAAGAAGAAGAAGATTTAGCAACTGGAACAGTAACCATCGTCACTGATGAAGAAGGCAGATTATGTTCTGTCCATAAACCAGGTACTTCCAAACTTATTACAAAGAAACCTATGGAGATGATAATGTTTAGGTCAAGAAAAGACTATGTACCTGCTTTGTTTTGTAAGATTTGGGTGCTTTATAGTAATGGAGTGTCTGTTCAGATACTCATTAAATTACTTGCTCTTGAAATTAGTTTTTAAGATGGTGGCATGACGGAAGTTCAAAAAGAAGTCACAGCTTGACCTACATACAGCAGAGGACAGATTTTGAGCATGTCTCCTGTTACAGCTCTAGTTTGTTTCCATTATCTTTGCCTGAGGCTAGAGCTGGGAAAGCTGCATGCTCCCTATGAAAGGTGTTGCTCATGAGAATTACTGTATTAATACTCTTATTTGGAAATCACATTTAGAGATACATAACTGAAGTATAAGTAGAAAATCAAATTGTTCCCTTTAATTTTTAGGTGGATGTCCTCTTACAGGAGCCAAGCTTCAGGACTGTATCACCAGAGCAATTACAAGACACAAAGAAGTAAAGAAGCTGATAGACAAAGTAATAAAAAGTATAATGCCCAAGTGAACAAAAGGAGAGAGCTTTTCAAAAATGGATTTGTAAAAATTGTATTTGTTACAGTGTTCACAGACCTTTTATACTAAATAAACAAATACCAATACTACCTTTACAAAGTTCATTTTTTCTAAAATGTTTTTCACCCTTATTCTATGTACAGTGCTGTTGAGTGGTAAAAAATACAAGATAAAACATTCTGTTAAAAAATTGACTTAAGGAAACTAGATCCTAGCTTCTTTATAGATGAAATTTCTAGGTTCTGTAGGGCTGGCTTCCAAAATCAGTTCATTTGTTTTAGTGTAATGTCAAAAGTTAATTTTCCCACCAGTAATAAAAAACACTGATTTAACTTTAAGCTTTCTCCTTATTAATCTGAAAAAAATCCCCTTTGAACCAATTTTTTGGGGAGGAGGCAAGTCTCATGATTTTGGAGGGGCCGGTGTGCCTCTTTTCCTTTTACTTTTTGAGTGGCTGCCTGAATGCTGTTGATGATGCGGGTGAGCTGCTTGTGTTGCTGCCGCTGCCATAGCCATTTGATGCTGCAAGAATCGCAACTGCTGCCATGAAGGAGAAGGGGGAGAAAAAGCTTGTTAGTGTTGACTATAAAGCTTTCACGTCAGGAAGAATGAGAGGAAGGTGGGGGGGAGGGGGAAAGGTAGAAAAATAAGCACCAGGTTGACGAAAGGAACACACCATGGACTGGGGCAATGGGTACAGTCAAGCAGCACCAGTGGCACAGAAGCCTGCTGAGGGCACAGCTATAATTTTATATGTGTATGTGCCCAGCTTTGTTTCTTTGCCCTTTCTCTCCATTGCAGTAACTTCAGTAACTCAGCAACTTCTTGAATATTTGGGTCACATAGTACGTTTTTAACATAATACCTTCTCAGTGTAGGCATCATATGTATTTTCTGTATATGTTACAAAGAGGGGACTGTGTGCTGAAAGAATATTAAAATATTTTCATAAAGCATCTGGATGACAGAATGGTAAAAGGAATGCTTCATAGAGCTGTTGCTTCCATGTGCTGATTGTAGCAGTGCTGCATTTGAACTTGCAGGTGCTTACATTCATGCCATTTTAAAATCTATTGGCACCTGGCAGAGCTGATTTAGATAGTGCCACAAGCACCCCTTGAATGTTTTCGTATCAGGAAGGTGGATGGCTTAAATGAATAAAAATAAATTCAGTGCTCCAAGCTGAGATAACCACAGATTATAAATCTTGCATGATGGTTTGCCAAATTCATGTTTGTTTGTTTGTTTTTTGTAATTTGTGAGACCATAGTGACATTAGTTAAAGAAGTCAAAAGGGCAAGATTTTTGATTTTGGAGCCAAGAATTGTATTTTTAGGTTTTTTGTTGGTTTGTTTGGTTTTTTGTTGGTTTGTTTGTTTTTTTAACACAGAGTGAAGTTGCTGGATTACTTGTATCTGTTGCTGCTGCTGCTGCAAGGCTTGTTGTTGCTGTTGCAAGGCAGAAGAGAGCTGGAGTCTCTGCTGAGGAAGGCTTTGCCCAGGTCTGTTCACGGCAGAGCCAAGCTGAGACAACACTGAGAAAGGAGAACGGGAAAGCAGGCAGGTCAAAGAGGTCAGGTTGAGTTTGTCAGGGTTGGGGAAGGAAGACATAGGAATACAGTGTAACATAGGAATACAGGAAAGGGGGATCAATAGAATTAGTTTCAGAGTCAAACTGGAAACAGTGCAGAATAAGGTATACATGCTATACATACTCTGTTAGAACATAGTTAGATTATGAAGTGCTTGTGGAGGCACAAAGAGGTTTCTCACACTGGATGTTAAGCACAGAGTTAAAGAATTATTCCTCAATGAAGTCTGGCATGGAAGTTCCCTGCATTTTCTTTTTGTAATAAGTGTAGCTTATTTTCATGTGATACAATCAATTGACTGCACTTAACTGCTGAATAAAATAGAGAAGTGCATGCGTTAAAAGTCCAGTATTTCTTGTGTAATTCACATGCTGATAATCAATAAATTGTTCTGATCTAACATATGACTTCTTGAAGACCAAACTTCATTTCAGTGTGAATTTATCAATATACACATTTAACTACAAAAGGAGGCTCAGCAAGCACATACCTGTGGCTTGAGGTTGCATAAAATTCCCTACTCCAGTCAGGTTAATTACAGCAGCTTGTTGGGCAGATAATGCCTGATCTTGATTGGATGGACCTTGGTCAGACCCCTAGCAAAAATGAAAAGCTTGATCCTTATTACCAAACTTTGGTATCAATGAATAAGCAAACAAAGCCAGTGTGAAGGCAAACTTTTGAACTGCCATTTAAAAACATTTAATGCTATGTCATCCAGTGCATGTAGATGGAGGCTATAACACAGTCACTACAAGTAGAACAGATGCTGATTGCCCCAAAAAAGCTTTGTTTTGGCAGAAATGGTACTGCACCTGTTACCCTGCAGAAGTCCCATGTAATTGTCAACTTCCTTCCCTGCAGTCTAGCAGAGACTGCACTTTATGGTTGTAATCTTATGACTATTTCCTGTCCTACTCCCAGCCCCAGAGTCTTCAGGTGACCCTGAAACCATCCATGTGCAAAGGTCCTAATCAAAGTGTGCAAAGGCTGACACTTTACTTTCCCATGCTCATATTGTGCCACACACTCCTTAATTTCATAAAAAATACAAACCCTGCTTTTAAAATTATATTTTCAGAACAGAGTAGTTCTCAAGTAATCACTCAAATGGAGTAAGTGGAGTCTGACAGTATCTCCTGAAGTCAAAGGGTGCTGAATAATGACCTCTTCTAGAAAACTTAAATTATGCATCGATTTATAACATAGGGAAATAAAGCATTATATTCACAATCCAAGCAAGCTGCATGGCTTATCAGTCAGATAAAGAGCTGGTGCATTGCAGGATTTGTGATGCTTCTTTAGCATAAACATATGATATAATGCCACTAAGATCTAAGTAAACCAGACCAAAAGATTGCACATTAAGAAGACATCATCACCTCGGTGATGACTAAGACTTACAGAGTCATGTGGGGAAAACCCATCATGTGGGGAAAACCCTAAGAATGACATGAGAATACATATATTCTGTTGGTAGCCAAGAAAATTGTTGGTCTTTTTGGGCTTAGTTTGTTTCCACTAAGCAGTATACACCATAAAACATCTGAGACAGGCATCTTGTTTATGAACAGTCTACAGGAGCACAAGTGAAATTATTATGACAAACTTCAGTATCCAGTAGAGACTATTTGGTAAGCAGAAGTCTTGCATGTCTGGGAAGACAAACACAAAAGCAGAGCAGCTAGTTTTCCCAAATTGCTGCATCAGTGTTGGTAATGATTTTTTAGTGCAGGTAGAACTAACCACTCAAAATTTGTCATTTTGATAACAGGTCTCGAGAACAAGACTTAAGACGTTTTCAATGCTTAAAGCCTTTAACACCAATTACAAGCAACAGCAGAGCAAATGCCTTAAGATTACAGCATTAAAGCCAACTGATACTTCCTTTGGTGCAAAGAAAATTCTGTTGAACTACAGCAGTGAGGATCGTAAGCCAACTCACAGCGGTGTAAGTAGGAAGTTTTAGCTAACTCTGCAATAATCTTTGAGAAGATTTAGGAGGAAGACTTTCCTCCCCCTCTGCTACAGATCTGTTGGGTAAAGGCTCATTTACTTGTGAAGATGGGGAGAATAGGAGAAACAGTTTCATACATGCACCCCAGACTGAGGGCTGTTAGCACAGACCTGTTCTCCCTGTTGCTGAGGACTACAGGTTGTGGGCTGCTGAGATTGTTGCTGTGGAGAAAACTGTGATAGCTGCTGCTGGAGTGGGTTAAAAATAAGTGAACCACCTGGAAGCTGCTGAAGATTAAAAACAAAAGGCATAATTCAAACTGCTGAGTTTCCCACTGTTCTAGGATGAACATAATATTGATAATGACATACTCCCTAGAGGTTTGGTTTTTGTTTTGTTTTTTAATTCCTTTAAAATCAATAAGTTTACAATTGCTGCTGTTTGTGAAAAAGTCTTATGTTCTGAAAACGAACCTGCATGAAATTATAGTGAGATATGTCACAGAAAAATATATTTTAATTATTCTAATTAAAACAGTATTGTACTGATACTGAAAATGTAAATGTTAGCCTTCAAAAGCCCTGCATATTGTTTCCACTTTCAGAACATTCCACTGGATTTTAATAGATAGTGAGATGGCCTTGAGTCCTCTCCCTTACCCCAGCTTTAATTGCTCTGATTTCAGCCAAATATTCTTGGTGTATACGGGTGGCAGAGCTAGCTTGAAAGGATGTACTTCAATGTGGAAAAACAAAAATACAAGCATTTAGATCTATACAAGAGCTCTACTCTGGCATAATTGCCTCCTGTGCTTCCCTTTTCCATGTTTCTGGAGTATGTACAGGAGTGGAAGAAGGAAGTGGCAAAGCTACAGCTGTTCTTTCACTGGTAATAATTTTTTGAAGCATGGTGCAACACACATGGATCACTGTAGCTCCAATTCTGCACCTGTAACTGGCAGCTGACTTCAAGATTCAGGAACTCCAGCCAGTTCCACAAACAGTCCCTGTTCTGCTTTTAAATGCAACTCTGACATAATAAGCAATATTCTGCTCATGTTTGTATTTGTATGTATGCTTAGTGGAAAGAAAGCATTTACAGACATTCTAAACTCCCTATCTTACATGAGCTTCTATTTCCACTACCAGAAGCTCTTCAAACCTATTACGGTACTTATCTGGGCATGCTTAGCTCAGCTTTTAGGCATTCTATGTGTAACCCCTGAGTGATTCTACTGTACTGTTTCATACAGTATAATCATAATTTCAGTATAGAGAATGATTTGCAATAAGAGTTTAGGCAAATCCTGAAAATAGAAGATTGTATTTTAGCATTAATCTTTTGAATCCAAATGTCAGCATTTTTAGATTGTTACTGAAAATTAACTGCTTTGTTCTGAGCTAGGAATATAATTTCCACCTGGTATCTCTATGGATGTAGCTTTTTCACTTATTCTAAGCATTTTAAATATGCAATTAAAATTTACAGTAAATGGTCTGACCAACTGGCTCCAAAGATCTGTATGGGGCAGTGCAGTAAACAGGTCTCTATAGAAAGATAAGAAATTATCATTCTTATTGTGTCCAAGTATATCAATTACCTGTAGAAGATTTAAGGGCCGAAGATTTGATGTATTTTTCAAACCAAAGGGGCTGCCTGTTAAAGAGAACATCTTTTCATTAGTAGGGAGTCTTTACTCAGTTATATTTGTGAATTGCAATACACCTTTCCACTGGGACTATTTCTAAACATTTAGAAGTTGGAAAACTGGCAACTGTAAATTTTATACTTAATACAATGCTGCATTTTCCATAATGTAAAATTCATAGTTATTCAGACTCAAAGTACAAGAGAGCTGTATTGCTACTAAACACTGCACCTTGTAACCTATAACTTGCTAATGCATTTACACAAAGGTGAATGGAGAACACTAGCAGTTACTCTTCAGTGATTCTTATTCTGCCTTTAAAACCTTTTACTGTTTGTACAGTTAATGCAAAAAACTCCATGGTCTCAATGAAGTAAGACACTCTCAGTTTATCAATCTTTAACAGAAAACAATCCCACACAAAATCTGAGCAGCTCTCCAGTAAGCCAGCAGCTATCAAGCAGAACCCCTGGAGGTCTCACACAGACTCAGCTCAGTTCACTACTCCCATCTGTTGTGAGGGCGACAGCACAGCATGGAAAAATCTGTGACACCAAAGTGGTAAAGGTTGGTAGTGCTTGAAAGGACAGAGTTAGACTAAAAGTGATCCTAGTGAATTGAACAAATGGTCCAAAATTCAATAACAGTGAATTTAAAAAAGACAAATGAACAAGTACAAACTTCTAACTAGCTTTGTGTCTATACAGCAAGAAAGGACATGAGAAGTTACAATAAGTCACAAACATATCCAAATCATCCATATCACAAACTACAGAGCACACAAAAGAAAAGAACCTCTTCAGAGAGTTTACATTTATAAAATTCACTGTCACAAGGTGCTGTAGGTTCCAGAAATATAAATGGGTTCAAAAAGCAATTAGATAAATCCACAGACCAGAAATCTAGCATGGGATATTAAGCACAAAGATCCATGTGGATATTCTTCAGCTTCAAAAGTCTCAAAGCTGTAGATTGCCAGAAGAGGTACAGTTGTAGAGAAGGGATGTTTTAGTTCACACTTTTGCCTCATCTTAAACTCTTTCTTCAGTATCCTCTAATGGCAACTGCCAGAGACAGAATATAAACTGGATGGATTTTTGGCCTAAACCAGTAAAGTCATTCTTATGTTAATGTAATGCTGTTGCAAAAAATACAGATAAAAATAGGCAGACCTCATTTGGGGAAATGTTAACAGGAATGTTGTGAAAGAGATGAGATGCATTTATTCTGCTGTGCTCCACAGTGGTAAATCAGCCAAGCTCAGGCTTGTGTCCAGTTTTGGTTATCACATTTTAAGAAGGATGTAAGCAAATTGGACAGTCTAGAAGAGAGTGACAGGATTATGAAAGGTTTGAAAAATACGACCTATCAGAAAGAGAAGACAAATGTGGGACATGACAGCATGTTTGATATTTAGAAGGTAAAGAGAAAGGGTGAACGACCATATTACATGCCTGAAAGGTATAGGAGAAAAAAAATAACTTGCAATTAAGGAGATGCACTGTAATTAAAAGGAAACAATTTACACGGATAATAAACTACTCCAAACAGCTACCGAGGAAGACTGGAATCTTCTTTAGTGATGGTATTTAAAGACAATTTAGATAAACATTGGTTCCGTATGGTTTAGACAGATTTGACTGTGTTATCATAAGGGATGAATATCTTGAAGTCTCCTATCATTCTCATTCCACAATCAAACATTAGGGTTTTTTTCTTTATTATATGTTCAGAAAAAATAAACTGAGAATTTAAATTGGGCTTTTAATATTTATACAGTCACATTTGAAGGCAATAAGGAATTACTTAATTGTTGTACTAGAAGAAATAGTACCAGGGACAGAATAAAATGTCTCGCACATTTAAAAAGTGAAGCCTCTTTCTAAGTACAGTCATGCCCTTTTTCTGGCAGTCATCATTATCAAAGTTGCATTTGAATTTGGAGTTTCTCTCAAATTTCCTACTGAGCATACTGAACAATCCAGGTTTTGAGTGTGTATCCCCAGTCTAGCTTACCAAAAATCAACTCCAAACAATCTGCAACATAGTCTATACTTTGAATGCAAAAACACATACGTTATTCCTGAGCTCCAGCCATCAAATCCACAATCTATTCCCACAATGGCCACTTTCGTCCATTTTTCTCATAAAATGTTCCCACATTGTCCCTGTCTGAAGGGTGGCTTTTCAACTGAGTCACACTGACCTGCTTGAGAGGCAGACTGCATTGCAGCGGGCAGCGCACTTGGTACCAGACCTCCTGACGGTAAAATGCCACTCAGATTTATACCTGCAGGGGCTATGGCACCAGGGTTGCACCCCAGCATAGGGTTTGAACCACTCATCAGTGACTGTGCTCCACTGTAGAAGAGGAAAGACAACACATCAAACCCAAGTGGCACAAGTGAATCTGAGTAACTACATTTTTTCCCTCTGTCTCATGGCAAGTAAATCAATTGTTTGTTGTAAATGGGACTATGGATAAAGCATCAATGCAGCATAAAAAAAAATTGTTTTGCCTAGAGTATAACATATCTGTTCCATATTCTCAGCATATACAGGTTTTTTAATTCTATGGTATCAGCTAAGGAGAGTAAACCACAAGCGGTTCTTTTATTCTAGAAATACTAAAAGATCAACAGTCTTCAAAATGGCTGTACTACCCTAAAAGGAACAGGTCTGCATTTTCTTTTTGTCCTACAGAAAATATCCCCAATTTATCAACAGTGATCAACTGCTAAACACCTTAGATGAATAATTCAAGTGTCTGATACTTGCACTGGAGCACACTATGTGTCTTACACTGACTATCTTAATTGCAGAATTTCATTTAGTCTAAAAAGCAGTTCATGTTATACCACATAAATTATTCTTTACTGCATTTATTATTTTCTTTAAACCACAAAGTGAGTTTTAAGGCCTGAAGAATGTTTAACCTCAATGTTTGTTTAAATTGATCAAAACAAATCTGTTTCTGTTTTTCATTTAAATTGGTCTGCATATGGTATTCTACCTCCTCTCTGATGAATAAAAGCTTTCAAACTTTAAGAGGCAAAACCTCAGAAATCAACCGAGATTAAGCCTTAAGAAATATGACTCCAAAAAGATTAACGTAATAAAGGTCTTTCTTAATAGACCTTTTCAATATTCCAATAGTAGGTGCCTTCCATTTGAGAAATAAAAATAGTTTCTAGTGGCTCTTCACTATATAATTAAAAAAAGTGAGTGAACTTCTTGTATTGCAGATCCTGAAATATATCTACCCTAATGGATGGTGGACAGTCCTGGACCACTCTCCCCCTCCCACCAACCAACCCACGGCAAATTAAGAAACCATCATCATAAAAGACTTACCACACAGAGCCCACTACATTGATGAAGTTAAGTCCTGCAGGGTTTGCCATGACCTGGGTGGAGGTTGTTCCTGTAGTAATGGATGTTACCATGGTGGAAAGAGGAATGGTCATTACAGGCAGTGCCTGGCTCAGAGACATTTGCTGCTGAGCAAACGGGGTTAACAAAGTGGGCTGAGGGGTGAAGCCTGAATCTTGGGGAGTAGGGGTGGCAGAAGGGGTAATAGGAGTTGAGCTCTGAGCATCAGGAGGGTGTGGGGCCGATGAAGGGGTGTTGGTTGGAGTAGGAGTAGATGGTTTAGGAGTTCCAGACCCTGCTCATTGAGAAAAATAAAAAGTGCTAGTTTGTTATAAAAGGCCAATCCTTTTTGTATAATATGGTTAATGGAATCTTACTTAGCACTGACAATTTGTTCTGTTTTTTAGACTGCAAGTGTTCTACACGGCACGAGTGTTGCATCACGCACTCATTGTTAAGGATGCAGTATAATCACAAAGAAAACCCATTCTCCATGCTTCATTCCTTATGGCGTACACTGATTTGTATCCTCCTTTAAGGCTTCCAAAATTTATCGTACATTAAGTCATAACTCCATTCAGGAATACTTACAACAAGTTCTTAGTGCCACTTTAACCTAATTAATGTTTTTGTCCTAGACTGTTAAATAAATATTATATATGCACTGTCTGCACAATAGCATAGTGTTAAAAACATATGGAAAACAACCGAGCCAACAAAGAACATGTACTATTTCCATCATCATGTGGCTGATCTAAATTTCATCAGATAGTTAAACTGCCATTTGCCAAATCTGGATCAACTAAAAAGCAATTATTTAAGAACCAGAGGATAAAACTGCATCTTTAAAAGCTACTGTGTAATTCCTGCTGCTTAAATGTAGCATGTACAGCTGTATTTCTTGTGGATGCAGTAGCCAAAGTTTATCATTATAAAAACATAACCCCCCAAAAGCTTGAGCTGGTTTTTTTTGTTTTCTGTTTTTTTTTAGCTTTCATGTCCTGCAGAAAGAAAGGAAATAAATGTGAATGGTGACCAGAGCCTTAACGTAACAACTGTGTGCAGCAGATTTACACAATTCATAGCACTAACATAAAACCAGAGTCAATACGTTAGAAGAAAACTTTTATAAGTTTTCTTTTTTTTTCCTTTGTGCAAAACAAAAGTTACACCTTTTGAGCTACCCAGTTTTTAAATTATTTAATGCAAAAAGCATGTTATAATACTGTGCAGGATACTGAAGCGTGCAGTGTACAATTACTCATAAGAAAACTGAGAAACTGCAGATATGGTTTCCTCTTTGTATAAATCTGTTCATGAAATGGCTCAAGACGCATATGTATTTTAAAAGTTTTTTATGATCTATAGCTATGATTACAATGAACCTGACAATGTTAATGAAAATACTAAAACTGGGACATCACTTTTGATTGAAATTTGCATTTTAACACCTCAGGATATGGTGCTATTATCATCAGCATCACCACCACACTTGTAATCAGCAATGATTTGTAAAACAGTGTAGGAGTGTTTTTAAAAATCATCTTATCGTTTATTGTATTATCACCTTGGGACTGATCAGATTATATACATACATAGATACACAACTGCACCAGCTCCTATGACATTTAATAAACTAGATGCTTAAATTATGTAAAGGCAAACTGATCTAACATACTGTTTTTACACTGGAGGAAAAAAAATCTACACTTTGGAATTTTATCTCATCACATCATCTACCAGCCTTTCATATATGAGGAGATCACACTAATTGCATAAAATGTATTAAAACGTATACACAGAGGGTGCATACAGATATATACAGAAAACAAACACAGTTACAATAAACAGAAATTACATACAGTGAACAAGAGACCTGCCTAAAGCTGCACAACTTATACAATTTAGGGTACACTGTACACTTAAGTTTCATCATTCCACAGGTTAAGAAGTTTCTCTCAGGAAGCATTTATGCAAAAGCCTAAGATTTAATGGAGAATTTAGGTCGTGACTCACTTTGTGAAGAGCTCGCAGGAGACATGGCAGCTGGAGAGAGCATGCTAACTTGATTAAGATCCATAGATTGTTTCCGAGAAAGACCAGGAGGCTTAGAAGGAGGAGGAGGAGTTGGGGATTTTAGATGGCCACTTGACTGTTGTGAACTGAAAATATTACCTGAAAAAGCATAATTAAAATATATTGTTCTGTGAGTACAGATTAACTCAAATATTTGTTAGGGTACAATTTTGTAACGAATATAATCAGAAATCAAAAAAATTATGCTCTTCTCACAGATGAGACACTGGTATTTTTTTATTAAATCTTTACTAAAGGGATATCCTGTAATTTTACAACAGGCAGAACATGTAAAAAGGAGAGGCTTGAGTCAATAAATAATTACCTGAAGAACTACTTCCTGAACTTGAAGGTAATTTGATAGGAGGAGGTCGGTGTTTTACACCTTTCCCCAGCACTGAAGACTGAACAGAACCTGATATGCTTTCTGGCTGCTGGGAGGAAAGAGAAATTAACACTACCACAGCAATGATGTGAGCTTCCACACATTTGGCAGAAAAGACAATTCGGTTAATGTGTATTAAGACGCCTCAAAACTATGACAAAATTCCCATCATACATTCCAGATTTTTATGTATTTATTCAAAAAAACATAACCTACGACCAACTCCCTTTATCTAAAGTGTTTACCATCAAGAAGCAGCATGAAAGTACTGGCAAAAATTTAAACTGAGCAAATTAAAGTAATTAAAGAGTTTCACTTTTCTCCGTAAGTCTGAAATCTTTCTTAGTAATTTTCACAAATGCAAGAGTGACAAATGGACTTGAAGTAAAAGAACACTTTGGTTTTACTTGAAAAATTGCATAATTTCATTCATTCTCTCTGTATATACCTGCCATTTCCAACCAAGACAGATTTAAAGAAAGGGATCAGAATTCCTGATTCTAGGAGTAGGATTTTAAATACATTCAGCAAAATCCCGAATGCACAGAAATCAAGACGCATTTCCCCACTGGCTTCAGTGGGATCAAAACTTCATTAATGTTTTTGGAGGGAAGATGTTCCCTTTTTATTTGTTCTTAAAATCTACTTATCAGGCTATCTGAACATAAATTAACTTCAGCTACTTGAGTCTGTAGTTTGCAATCACTCACAACAGACCAAAATCCATAATTCCAATAGCTGACACTGTCAAAAGACTCAAGAATGAAACGTATTTACAGTTATTTATAGTCTATGTATTTTTACCTATAAATTTTTACCTATAAAATTTTTACCTATGTGTATTTTTCCATAAATGAAAGTAATGTCTAAACAAACTGCTGAAACTAGAAAATGAGGCTGTTGACATGGTGAAGGGAATATTTCAATGCTGGAGCCTAAATTAGATGTGCATGGGTTAAGAAATCAGATCATTCTGCACTGTGCAGAATCACCCTTTCTGGTAAGCTTAGCTTCCACTGATTCTCAGTAATGAGAAAGTCCCTCTATGTGTTTCTAATTACTTGCTTATAAAAAAGAATCTTATGAGGAAAATTTTGAGGACTACCTTTCTCTTCTACTAAAATCTGCTTTCTTGGTTTTGAAAATAAAGACTAATGCCCCATTTCAAAGGTGACAAGATCACTAAATACAGTAAACCTGAGCAACTTTGGTCCAGACTTTGGTGGGGGCTTGCACAGGCAGACAAGATGACTTCTGCAAGTACCCTCCCACCCCAAGTTATTATATGATTTCAATGCATATATACGTGTGCATGTACATGTCTGTATGTGTATACACATAAACATTCATATCCCTTTCTGCAGCTGCTGGCCTTGGAATGCTGCTGGTGTGGCTGACACCAAGAACTACCTCTTTCACAGCAATGTTGTTGGAGTTTAAAACTAGGTGTTTAGGGGAGGATGTCACTAAGGAAATAGCCCAACAGATACAAATATCATTTACTACTTGGAGCCTAAATACAGCTCACTGCTGAAGTACTGAATCTGACCAACAAAGCCAGAAGCAGAATGTAAAACAAGGCACTGCCAACAGGCAGGAAAATTTGGGAATGCAAGAATTTATACTGGAAAGGTAGAAATGTGTGTGCATGCAAATATACATATTTTAAAGTTCTTGGGGGGTTATTTGTTTACTAGTTTTTGTTTTAGGGTTTTTTGTTTTTTTCTTGTTTTGTTTTACGTTTTCCTCTTCAAAGTAAAGAGAAAATAATTTTAATTTCTACAGGTAAAAGAAGTTTAGCTACTCCATTTCCTTCTGTGTTTACTGACCTGCAAAATAAAACACGTAGCTGCATTTTACTATACTGCTCTATGAAAGGTTCATCTGAACAGGGGAAAATGCTAAAACAAAACCTTGGAGCTGACTACACTATACACAGCCAAAAAACCCCCGAAACATCTAGAAGGCAGCATTTGAACACTGAAAACAAAAATGCTTTCCTTTAACTTTTCCAATGAATGATCGTGACCACAACACATTTAAAAATTCGTTCAGGATGACATTTTTAGGTTATTTTATTTTTAAATGTCGACAGCAAAGGGAACCCTGAGATTAGCTCAGTTGGTCAGAGGACATGCTAATAATGCCAACGTCACGGGTTTGATCCCCATATGGGCCACTCACCTAACAGCTGATGATCCTTGTGGGTCCCTTCCAACTCAAAATATTCTTTGAAACAAACAAAGAAATCTCTGAAATTCTAACAATTCAATAATCGAGGGCAAATAAAAAATGTGTGGCTTAATAAACTCACTTCCATTTCCTTCCCTGGAGAAAGATGACTAAGATTGACTGATCCACTTGAATTATGAAATATTTTCACAGGACATTTAGCTTCACTTTGTACTAACTCCTGATACTGGTTCACCACCCTGAAACAAACAATGAAGACATAAAAAGATTAACAACTTTTAACTTTTAAAGTAGATACATATATAAAAACACATAATTGCATATGTTATGGTTGTATATTTTATATATTATGTAAGCATATCTCTATGTAAAATAGATATGCACATATATGAAAAATATTTATATCTTTATGTATCTTTCTACATTATGTTCCTGGGCTCTTAAGTTTATTCCATTTTAACTTTTAATCCCAGTCTTTTTTTTTCTAATGCAAAATACAGTGTAAGAAACACTCTTTTGGAGGAATATGGAAAATAGCAGATAGAGCAGTTCCCTTCCTGAAAGCAACTGCAGGTCTTTGGGATGTCAGTCAATGGGGATCCCATTCCCTTCACACAGGCCCAGAATGTTTTATAAAGGTGTCTCTTCTGCTTATGCTCCCTGTGGAACAGTCAACCCCTCCTTTAACTTGAGGTCTATGTCAGATGAGGAGTCTAAATGCAAGGGATGAACATCACTCCTCTTTGAGCATCATGACAGACATTTGATAAAGCACCAATAGTATCAGGCAAACAAATTTAAAATACTGTTCTGTCAAATGAAATACTACATCTCTACTAATCTGGACAACTAAGATGAGGGAAAACTGTTTCACAAACATGAGCAGAATATACAAAGTGACCTTGCTGACTTGAAAAATTAAGCTGAAGTGCTGTTGTCACTTACAGACTGAATCTCAATGAAAAAGTGATGGAATATTTTTATTACCTTTCACCTAAACGTGATGAACTACACTTTATTTTGGTATAGCACTGATTCTGTAATGTGCTGTTACTTGACTAATGCAGACCTAAGCAAGGGCCCTGAGATATACGACAGAGGGTGCAGTGTACTTTTTTCAGCAATTAGATTTCAGACTGATTTAAAATTACAGTGGAATTAAGAGCAGTAAAATGCCATGTACTCAAAAAGGTGGTCCTGACCTCTTATATTGTTACATCTTGTCCTAGTCCCTGAAACCCAATTGCTATTCTGACAGAAGGACTTGTGCAACCAAGTGACAAGAAGGATCAGGAAACCAATCCCAGTTACGACTAGGCCCCTGTATTATTGTTTTAGTTTTCAGCCAGCCAATCCCCCAATTCCGCTTACAGAACAAACAGCAAAAGTATCAGCACAAAATATGCAGGAGAGAATATAAGCAAAGGGTTTCTTGATCAAAATTACCTATTTAAAAAAAGAACATGATTACTGATTTTTGATCAACTCAAATACTCATTTTCCTGCCAGGCACATAAGATAGGGACAAGAGCTATGGCATGTACATCAGCTCGAGGTATCCTCTGGAAGTATAAAAACACAATTGGCTTTGACAGAGGTTGATTTTTAAAGGTTCTGTGTTCATATGCACAGGTATCTAATGTGATGCATGCAGACAAACATTTGAAAAAACACTTATTTTCCTGCCTGTTATCCCTGAATTGCTACTCTTACTCATTCTATGACTAAAATATACTGAAAAACTCTTTAATTACTTTCTTCTCTAGGAAAGCTGAATCAAGTAATGCACAACACACAAAAGTAAGTTGTATAAATCTTAAGTCCTAGATTACATTTCAAATGACAAGTTGAAATGTACCATTTCCACGACTGGTAATTTACTAAACAAAATGTCAGGATGGAATTCCTGCGAAGTGCTCTCAGAGTTCAGGTAGCACAACAAACTGTACTCACATATTTGATTTCCTCTATTCTTTCTTGCTCCTTAAATACAGAAACTACACACTATATTCTACTTCTTGTTATGATGATTAATTCCTCTTATTTCTCCTCATCTGTTCTGCATCTGTTTCCATAATCATAACATTAGCAGTCATAATGGCTAAAAGGAACACAATTCATTATTTGGCATGAAACCAAATGGCTGTACATACTATATTAAATTACCTTTCAGCATCAGTCTTCGAACCAATAAGGAACCTAAAATGTAAAATACATTTTCAGTCATGAATTGGACTGAAAGATCATATTTTTAAAATCACAAGACTTCAGACAAATGTCAGTGCTACCTTTTTTTCTGACCTGCTCAAAATACAAGTGATAATGTATCCATTCAATGGACTGGGTATTATTCAGTATTTGAAATACATACTTGACTTCCTAACTATTTATACGATATACAGACATGGTCTAATATGGTCTCCTTTAGGAGTAAATAACCTACAAAGAAAAAGGCAGAGTATGGAAGTTTGGGATTTTATATTTTCAAAAAAATGGACGTGAGTGCTACAGAATTGTAACTGTAAAAAGTACAAAGTTATGTATAAATCAACAACATATCAATATGCTCACACTGAAATATAACTGTCCTGAGGGTATGTCAAAAGCAGCCCTACCCATTATATTTCAGCAAATATTTAGTTTCCATTGTTTGATTTCACTTATGCAAATTCCAATTCCCTCTGATTAGGAGGGCTTTTTTAGCCCTCCTAAATAAGTATTTCTCTTTTGCATAACACTTACAGCTTGCAAACTTATTACTGCAGTGATTGTTTTTTAGCATTTTTTTCCTCTTTCTCCAGCTCCAAAAATAAAAAAAAAATGTAAAAAACATTGTTTTATTTTACTGAACAACTTTTATTTTGTATGACAGTTTGCTAATGAGGAATTATCCAAATTTTGATGAACTTCAGTTGGCAATGTCTTAGCAACGAATTGCAACCTCCCCCGAGGCATCTAATACCTCTAAATCCATTTAATTCCCAGCCTTATTACACAATTCTAAGCTAGCACTGCTGGTTTAGGAAGATAAATTCTAAGTATGTATGCTGGTTTTGGCTGGGGTAGAGTTAACTTTCTCCATAGTAGCTGATATAGGGCTGTGTTCTGTGCTGAAAATAGTTTTTATAATACATGGGTGTTTTAGGTATTCCTGAGCAGTACCTACAAAGTTCCTTTTTGTCTCTCACCAGCAAGTGGGCTTGAGGTGCACAAGAAGTTGCGAAGCGTTACTGCAAGGACAGCTGACCCCAAGTGACAAAAGAAAGGGATATTCCATAGCATATGGCATCATCAGCATATAAAGCCAGTGAAAAAAGAAAGAAAAGGGGGAAGGGGGTACTTAGGGTGATGGCGTTTGTCTTTCCAAGCAACCATTAGACACGATGGGCCCCTGCTCTCCCTGAGACAGATGAACACCTGCCTGCCCATGGGAAGTAGTGAATGAATTCCTTGTTTTGCTTTGCTTGCGTGTGTGGGTTTTCCTTTACCTATTCAACTGTCTTTATCTCAATCGACAAGTTTCCTCACTTTTACCCTTCCAATTCTTTCCCCCATCCCACTGGGGAGGCAGGGGGAGGAGGGGCAGAGTGAGTGCCTGCATGGTTCTTAGTTGCCAGCTGGGGTTAAACCACAACAGTATGGAAACAAACTGTAAATAGCTGAATAAAATATTCTTAATACTCAAGATGTTTTACAATTTGGATAAAAAAATAAGAGAAGAATTACATACTAGACAATAAAAATAATTTTCATTAGCAAAACTAAAAAGTTTGCTCAGGCTCACTGCTCCTTGCCTTACTGAAATTTATAGGTTCTACTCTGCTGCACAGGTTCCTCCACACAAGTAATCTAGTACATACAACAAAGAGAGCCAAGAACAGAAAATCTTTGTAGAACCACAGCCAAAACCAGCATATTCAAAACAATTCAAAATAAAAAGCTTCTTAGCAGCTTATGTTTTCTTTCATCTATTTAGCTTAAATTTCTCTGTCTAAGGGTAAATAGAGTATAGTCATGTCTTAAGCTTTCACAGCATCAGGGAAATTTTAAGAACAATCAAAATTCTTAATAACACTAAAAAAGAGTGCAACAACATCTCATGGTGTCCACAATTTGCGTGGATTGTGTTTGTGGGAGATTGTTTTTACCCCCAGTATATTTTCAATGTAAAAGAAGATGCAAATTTAACATAAAAGTACATTAAAGATATGATGGTTGCTTGAACACATTTTGTTTGGTATTGTTTTTTGTTAAAAACTCTTAAATCAGATTTTAGCTCTGGAATATTTTTATGACTGAAAATGACAAGCAGTGTTTGTATTCCTTCATCTATCAGATCACAGCACAGTTTAAAAGAGCATGTAACTTACTGTGATGGAGTTAATAGGTTGTCATTTTCCTCATCACCTTTGAGCGTCTGAATTTTACCATAGTACAAGGGATTGCCAAGAGACTGGAAAATGGTCAGCTTTGTTTTTTGAAGCTGATTACCAACTTCACATTCAAATACATAATCATCTTTTATTTCCTAAAAAGACAGAAGAAAATAACCTATTAAGTCTTGAACAAGTGTTAGCAGAACCAGTGAGTAAAACAGACCAGCTCTATATACAATATAGTAAAAAACATTCTATAAGTAACTCTGTAAGTAAAACTCGATAGGAAGGAGTACATTATCTGAAATGAAAGTGATTTGACAGTAAGTTATCTAAAGGGATGAAAGGAAAAAGAGTTAATCATCTCTTAAAAAACAGAACGATATTGCAAAACCATGTTACACATGGAAAGGCAGATGGGGTAAACATATATAGGAACAGTTTTATATAAATTATGACAATGCAAAAAATGATCAGAGTAAGATGTTGGGAGTGAAGATTAAATTCTGTGGGAAAGTACTACTTTTTTCCAATATGAAACTAAAGACATCATGATACATGCTGTTAATAAAGATAGTATCTTGCCTCTAAAATTATAAAAAAAATAATCAACTATCTATGGCTGATTATGTCAAATTACTACTTCTTATCAAATAACGTAATTTGTGCCAAAAATCTTAAGGTTCAACTTACATATTGCAGAAAGAGCTTTTTGTAAGAGGCATTTAATACTAACCTCTTTCAAAATTTAACATTTTGATTTTAACTGAAGCTCTTTTCCATCAGCATTGGAGTGTCTGAGTAAAGAAAGCAATATGTTGAGCAGAGTACTGCTCCCTGTAAATTATTATGCTTTCTTTACTGCAAGCTGCTCTGCCTTGTATTTCTGGAGAACCTGAGGAAATTACAAGATGATCACATGCTTGCTGTACTGTAGAAAATTACCAGTATCTCTGGTAATATTCCCATGTCTGTATAACACATGGAAGATTAATTAAATTGGGGCAGAGAAGATTATTCCTACATTACTTTGATTTTGTTGAAATAAGAGGCATTTTAACTAGAGACAGTGAAGTTTGGCCAAAGGTCTAAACTACTCACATGTGCTGGCCAGACAGTTGGTTGTGAGTCATCAGGCTTGATAGACTTTTCCACTTTGGCATATTTTTCCACCTTAAAGAAAACAGAGAGATCAGAAAATAAAGATTCCCCTATTTTATGCATTCAGAAAAACTAAATCAGAGAATCTTCAGACCTTAACACTTATAGTGTTACACCATATTTGCTAGGTTAAACAACAAAGGAGTGAATGAAACACAGTTTAAGACTACACATTGAAATAATTGTCTGCAACGTGGAATGATTAAGAAGTCGAAGTGAAAAAAGTACAAACACCATCACTTCATGTGTAATGCACATTCTTGCCAGCTCTATGATGTCCAAAGCTACAGTCTTGTCTAGTCTACAGAGTCTTGCAGAAGACTCAGTAGAATAGAGAAGACTTGTGGAAAGGGACCTGGGGGTCCTGGTCAACAGCAAGTTGAATATGAGTCAGCAGTGCTCTGGCAGCCAGGAGGGCCAACCGTGTCCTGGGGGGCATCAGGCAAAGCATCGCCAGCTGGTTGGAGGGGATTGTCCTGTTCTGCTCTGCACTGTTGAGGCCTCACCTTCAATACTGGGTGCAGTTTTGGGCACCACAATATAAGAAGGATATAAAGCCATTAAAGAGTGTTCAAAGAAGGGACAAGAAGAAGGTGAAAGGCTTTGAGGGGAAGCCATATGAGGAGAGCTGGGGTCACCTGGTGTGTTCAGCCTGAAGGAGACTGAAGGGAGACATCACTGCAGCTTACAACTTCCTTGTGAGGGGAAGAGGAGGTGCAGGCCCTGATCTCTTCTCTGTGGTGACCAGTGACAGTACCTGAGAGGAGGTTTAGGCTGGATATTAGGAAAAATTGCTTCACCCAGAGGGTGGTCAAGTATTGGAACAGGCTCCCCAGGGAAGTGTTCACAGTACCAAGACTGATAGAGTTCAAGTGTTTGGACAAGACACTTGGTGTGATTTTTGAGGCTGTCCTGTCCTGCAGGACCATGAGTTAGACTTTTGATGACCCTTGTAGGTCCCTTCCAACCCAGGATATTCTATGATTCTATGAGTCCCTTCTGTACACTGGCAGTATATGTTTTGGCAGTGCCAGAAACTAAGAACACGAATGTCCCTCAGAGAATGCACACAGAGTGATCAAAAGAACTCTCAACTAGAATTCTCTGTATAAAAATCAAAACTTCTCAAAATATTAATGTGCCATAGTATCACAATATATCAAAAGAGAGGAATTTCTACCAAGATGAGAAGTGATTCATTTTTAAATAATCTACAAACCTCATTTGTTTTTCTGGTTTTCATATTACCAAACAACTTCAAATAGACAGGTGCTCATTGAACCCACAGAAGAAAAACAGTAACAGTTGTACTGTTTACCTCATACGAACTATTCTGTTACAATTGCAGTGTGGTTTCACCTGTGTTTATACCTTATGGTATAGAAAAGTAATTGTAAAAGGTAAAGTTATCCCATTTTTTCTTCATACCAGATACTTTTTAGTCACTTCTTCATATAATACAATATTCAATACAATTGCTAATAATTGCTAATGGTAACAACTGCTCTTACCTCTACTTCAGAAGGTGCAGTCAAATAGCAAGGGTTCTGTTTCCACATATCTACGCACTGGAAAATGAAAAAGCAGGATTAATATATTAAATGTTTTAATTAAATAGTTAGAAGCATATGAAATTACTTCTCAGAATACTTACATTTCCAGCTTTAGAAATTTTGAGGTCATACTGCTGGGCTGCTTTCCTCTCCTTTCTTTTCTGTAAGTAGTCAAGTATTCTGAGCTGAGGTGGAGCTGAGCAGTGAGCTACTTCCTGCTGTCTGTTCAGAGAGGACCTTGAGTACCTTTTGAAGCATCTATGGAAAAATGACACAAGCTTGTAAAACCATCAACAATAAATTCTCCACTGCCTGTGTACAAACACAAAAATACGCAGAGAACTCCTACTTACATTGAGACTAATAGGTTTTTAAATATTAATTTAAAATTGCTTTTCTGGATTACACTGTACAACTTTAACTTTTCATGTCATATTTATAAAATATACTAGTATTCTGTTCATGTGTTTCAGCACTAAGAATGTGGTTATTCTTTTAATGCATAATTGAATCGAACATTATCAAAAGGAGTAATTAAGAAGTTGTCAAGCTTAAAATATTTGTATACTATCATATATTTCAGTTCCATCGAAAGATCTTTGTACTCCTTATGTAACTACAAACACAGTGACTGCCCTCTATTTGTTTCATGACAAACTCGTTGCTACAGTAATGCTGTTCTGGACATTCATTTAACACCTTTGCCTATTTTTCTAGTGGAATATTTGTTGGCCACCAAGCTTTAATTTCAAGGACAGCTTGATCAATTTCACAATTTAAACTTTTAGACATTGCCACTAGTTTTATACTAGCATAGTATTTCAATACAGATCTAGTTTTAAATATTTCAGTAATTTTGAAAGACCCTTAGTACATTTCCCTTCTACAGAGTGAATGCAACTCTTGTAGCAGAACAAATATGAACCATTTCAAGCTTTTGTGGAAAAAAAGTGAATAACCACGCACAAAAGTAAAATAATTTCAACTCTTCCAAGATTCTGATATGCTTACACTTCTGTTTAGCCTGAATGTCAAACATACAAATAATTCCCTTGATTTCCTCATTCAGGATTAAGCTTATACATAGCTTTTAACAAATCAGAGACCAATATGCAACATATCAATTTATATCTTCTACAATACTGAGCTGCCATCTGACTCAGCCTTCACATAAATTATGCAAAAAAAAAAGGCAAAATCCAAACTGCAGTATAACAGATTATGTTGAGAAAATATATATATACACACTTTCCTTTGATATACAAAAATAAGCATACTACAGTATCTACTACTAACTGAAATACAGCACAATACTGAGCACTTTGAAATAAGATATAATTTCTTGACTGTTCCTCACACAATCTTAATATTTCAGTAAGTATTTCATATGAGTAGCTAAATTTTCACATAAAGCATTACTTATATTTTTCTTTGAAAATGTTTCACACTGAAAACTACCGTTTCATGGGACGAGTGTTCATCTTCTGCTTGTTGTACAAGAGTCGGTTTGTAGTACACGTCACTGCTATTGAAGGATCAAGACACAAAGGCTCTGCTGTAGCCAAAATAAGTTGGCTCTCAAGTAGGAGTTTGTCCTCCTGTAATATACACAGCTATTAATAAAAGTACAAATATGAAAACTTTTACACTAATTAAGCTCTTATATACCACGGACACGGTATGCATATGGACATCATCTTAGAGAAAACTGAAAAAATTGTGTGTGGATAGTCAACAAAAGAAACTGTTCAACAATTAAGTATCCCTAACCGTTATTATTAGTTACAGAGCTTGGGTAGGGTTTCCAGTAGGAAAAAAATAAGAAATCTACTGAAAAGCAGAGGTCATGTTCTTGGGGATTTTTTGCGTGAGTTTTCTTTGTGTGCTTGCTTTAAACACAGTACTAGTGGCATTGAAATCCATTTTCTGTCAGTGATTTATATTGATGTACTAGCAATCAGTGCCATAAAGATGATCTACCGGGAATTAGGTTACAATTTGAATTAGATTTGAGCATGACTGTGGCTCTGAAATACAAAAAAGAACATTGAGTACACCATGCTGTTCAGCAATTCACTACCTATAACTGTACTACTGTAGTTACTTCAGACTCTCTTTACTCTAAAAGTATCAATAGTAAAATAAAGGTGGAGGAGCAATTGTGTCATTAGATTGCCAGTGCTGTTCTGAGGCTGCACACTGAGGATGAACAAAGTAGGGTAAACTAGTTAGAGTCACACCAAGGCTGTCATTTTTCACTTCAAAAATTAGGGTCTGACTCCACAAAATCTTTAGCAAATCCTATTGTATTCTATGGCAACTTGTGGAAAGATGCTATTAAGTTAATTTGGCAGCTCTCTGAATCATGTACCACGCACAACTATACACACTGACAGTTTGAATTAATAAAAAAAAGAGTAAGCTCTATATTTATTAAACAAATAGAAAATTTTAAATAATTTTATTTTTTTGTGTATTTATGACATCATTGTAAAGTTTTAAAATAACCTCTAACCCACCTGTGTCCATTTGTGGTTGTCACTTGTTATAGAATGCACATCACAAATTAAAGTCTGAGGAAGAAGACATAATGGTAATTAGCTTTCAACTAGATAATAAGATTTCTTAATATATGGTCTGTAATAGTATCCAGTCTAGGAACTATGGTAACACTGAGAAATTACTTAAGCCACTTCCTACCTGCATTGTAGGACGCAAAAGAATGTGCTTGCTTTGGTATGTTGGAGATTTCATGTTACCAGACTGCCTATAGTCACGTATTTCTGCTATGACACATCCACAATGAAAAATATTAACCTAGTTGAAAGAAAAAAAAAACAAGTTTTAAATAAACAAATATTTATCAATCCACCCCTGCCTCTAAATAGAAGGTTTTTATATAACTTATCAAATTCAGTGAAACTATGAATAAAACTAATCATTAATTTTTTCAGACCGGTGCTCTTTACTACATACCTAGACATACCTAAAATACAAGCTTAAAATGTAGTGTTTCATATGCCAGTGAAGTAGTTCCAAAAAATTCCCATGCCAAACATTGTCATTATGACCAAGAACAAAGGGCATTTTGCTAGAGCACAGAGCTGAAGTTGTTTCACAGCTATAACCACAGCAATCTCTCTTCTATCTCTTTCTCCTCAGTATTTTTTTCCTAAAGAGCAATAAAATATTTGAGGCTTTAAATATTACAGTTTCAAATGAAATAGAATCACCTATGCGAAGCATTCAAAAAAATCAAGGTTTATCTGGGTAAAAAACATAAGTTCTTGTTGAAAACAAAACTTTCAAACCTGAGATTTTTCCAAAAGATCAACCAAAATAGGTGGTAGTTCCTCTGCATCCAAATATTCAAGCAGCTCTCCTTCCTCATAAGGCAGACGAATGGTCTCAGAATCTGAATTTAAACAAAACATATTACTTTTTTTCCCCTTTCAAGTTCCAACTTTAACAATGAGAAATCTAAAACAAACTTGCTACAGGAAAAAGCAGGGTTGGCAGAAACCTATCCAAACAGACCATTTTTTTGCATAGTACTAATTTTGACATCCCTTTCTGTTTCCAGAGCTTTATTTCGCTCTTGTGGTGCTAATAGACAGCATTTTTGCTCCCAGGTGACATACTGTATGCTCTTATTGCACGTCACAGTACCAACAGCAAGGAAATACAACCAAACTGGAACAAAATGCCTTTAGATAGACCTAGATACAGGAAACAGCGAAACGATCAATCTGACAGAAGGCACTTGATATAAGAGAAACTTGGATATGCAACTCCCGAAACTAAGTGGAAATAAGAGAATGAAAGGCTATCAAAAAGGCTCATATCTACAGATTTACACTGCACCTCATAGCTTTATGTAAATTTTTAATTCAAGTACAGTTTTTTGTTCTCCCTCCACCCCTGGCCCCCAGAATGAGCTTAGAAGTGGAACAGTTAAATGTAAGCAACAACACATTCTAACTATTTATATAGCGTTCTGAGTGTTTTTAAAAATTAAAGAGTAAAATTATTACCTGAACCATTTTTTCCCCTGAGCATAAGTGAATAACCCTCATTTCCTGGATAGAGGTTCACTACGAGACATGACAACGTCTCCTGCATAACCAGCTTCTCAAGTAAATTCACATTTCGTCTCAGCTTCTGCTTTAAAAGTAAACATTGCTCATGAACATAATACAATGAAATAATTAGTAGAAATAAAAACAATTGCTAGAATATGACTAATATTTAGATTAACAACAAAGCATACATCTAAACAAGCCCAGTTAAATTTAATTGTACTGTATTCAGCACAGTAAATATATTATGTATTATCACACATACTTATATACACTGATTTTTTTAAAAACCGCCACTCATTTAAATTACAAACCCTAGAACTGGAAGTTCACAGACAACAGAGTTAATGATGCTATGCTACAATGTTATAAATCTACCGTGGCCCTGGGACCCCTGGTGGCCTAGTGGTTAGCATGCAGGACTCTCACCGCTGCGACCCAGGTTTGAATCCCAGTCCCCCTGGGCAGATGGAGCCTGTTGGCCCTGTGAGGCCATCCATCTATGAGAAGGTCACTCTAAACAAACCTACGTCCTGAGGACCTCACTGCCACTTGGCCCCGGCAGATGAACCTTAGGATTAAAGGGTGGGCTCAGTTCAGCGCAGGCTGTGTCTCACCTAAAAAATCCTTTGCGCAGGCTGGAAAGGTAAAAGACCTTTCCCCAAATCTTCGTTCGCGAAGACTGGCCATTATTATTACAGTGGCCCTATTTATTTGTATAATTTCTATGAACATCATTTATCCTCTACACATTGTTTGATAAAAACAACAAAATATTTAGTACTTTCAAATATTCCTAATATTCCTCATCTTTCCATAGATATTGAAAAGAGGGAAAGCAGGATCATAACTTATTGGGGAACAAACTTAGAGAAAAGGACTGAAAAACAAAACCTCCAAATCCCACAGCAATATAACTAAAGGAAGAGAAAAAAGAAGAAACTATTTTCAATTTCCTGCTATAAAGTTTTAGAATCACTGCTTAAAGTTAACTCTTCCCCACGCATCATGAATGATAGTGACTACATCTCATTGGCTTTTACAGTACAGAACTAGTGGAAACTAAGAAACAGACAAAGTAGCACCTAAATCCTTTTAGAATTAATGGGAAAAGAACTGGAGGAGTGGAGGACAATGGGGGAAAGTATGTCATAACAACAACAGAGGTAAGAGATTGGTCATGAAAGCCAATTTCTCATACAGGATGCTGGAGATGCAGCATGTTATGCAAAACATTCTTCAGCCAGAACTCCTATTAACCCCTCCACCATCCACCAAACACCAGGAGGCTGCACGTGCAGTGCTTCAATTTTCAGACACATCCCTGAGTAGAGGATATAGCTATTGGGCTTTCCCTTAGACATAGTAGTAAGCAGCCCGAGGTACAGGAAATGTCATCTGAGACCAAAATCAGCACTCAACTACTCTGACATCCTCTCTTTTAAAAACTAAGATACTGTCATGTTTTGCTGGAAAAGTTTTTGAGTATGTTCCCCTGTGTTGGGTAAATTAATTCTTTCATATTTAGCTATGCACTGGCATTAGGACAGAAAGAAATATGAGAATTCTGTAAGGTATGTAAAGGAGATTAATTAATTACACGAAAGTTATATTTAAAAATAACAAATAAAACAATAAAAAACAATTCCATTCCTCTGTCATTGGGATAGAACCAATACAACTTCTAGAAGCTGTTACTGATAATACTGTTAACAGTTCTAATCCAACTTTGCTATTTTCAAGAGCTAAAGAAAAAGGATCATTCAATTAATGTCATTATTCCATCCAAAATACAGGCACGGAATAATTTATACTAACTAGTAACCACTCATGGAATTTCTAAATAAACAATATTTTTTCCTAACAATTTGTCTATGTATGCAAGAAATAGACATGAGATTTATTTTATGGAAGGCCTCTGCTCCTTAAACACCTCAGAAGTAAAATATATATCATGGCAATTAAATTGCAAATGTAATAAAATTCAGTTAATTGCATCACTCTCTAAATTTATTATTCAGTGAATGATATGTTAGTTTCATTTTTTAAGTTTTGTTCAATAATCATTGGCCACTCATGGCTTGGATTTTTAGGTTGTTACATTTTTTTGGAGGCTAGGATATTGAGGGGGGAAAACAAATAAAGGAAAAAAGAGAGGACAATCACATAGGCCTGAGAACATTTCTGACATTGCATTTGTATAACCTCAAATTTTAAAGACATATTATAAAAACATTTTAAAATATAAAGCCTTTCCAAGACATTGGAGTAAATTAGTGTTTTAAGTACAAACATTTCAACGTGTCGATAAAGTTGCATTTCACTAAGCATGAAAAGTTTTTATGTCTACAAAAAATAGCTTTCTCCTTTGAGCTGGCACTCTGAGATACTGTGTCAAAACTGATATTAAGCATTAGCTCAGGCCTTGTGTGTAAAGATTATAAAGATCAAGGACTGGCCTGAGGTGTATTATGTTTCTTAAGCATTCATTGCTTTATACTACAAGAGTTCAAATATCAAGCAACCAGGCCAGCTCTACTGCTCTGTTACATCAGCTAAACCTCTACCCTCTCTGATTTCACTCAGAGAAAAGCAGCACTGCTCCCTCCTGAACATGCACTGCAGGGACTCTGTGATGGATGGGAAGCCGCACAGAGAAGACATAGGTGCTTCTTTCGCTTCCAGTGAATTCTGATGACTATCAGTGAATAAAGAACATTGAGCACTCCTGCCTAACCAGACTGAAGTAATGATTTTATGTTGTTTATTATTCCTCCACCCTTGGCTACAAGCAAAATGTTAATTTTAGTACCTACACCTCAAACAGCGCACAGACTATTACACAAAATTATTATGTTATCTTTATCATGACTGCTTTTCTAATTCCTCACTGTAGCATATTAAACTGATTTTCCCATCTACCTTTATAACTGAAAAGTTGGTCAAAAAGCTTAAAATAAACAGATCACTTCCAAAAAAAAAAGGCACTACTTTATGAATGCACAGAAGATGCACCTTGAAAGGAACTGAAGTGACTTTCATTAACAGTGTTCTGAAACTCTGTTTACTCCAAGATGTTTTTCATGCTTGCACACTGATGCTATCACGTGCAGCTATCAGAAGACACCAATTGAGAAGAAGCAACTGATCAATGATTTTCCGTTTTTTTTTAAATTTGTTTTTGTAGCAGAGATCTTCAGATTTACCTGCCTTGCAGAAGGCATGATCTATGATCCTAAGAATCTATGATCCTTCCAGCCCATAGGCCAGGTGTGTTTCCACATTTGTGTTTAACACTGAGTCCAAAATTATTTTTGTTTGGTTTTTTTGTTTGTTTTTTTTTATTTCAACTTTTACATATGGGAATGTTGCACACTAGAGGCTAAGTGAAGCAAACTGTTTCATTAGACAACCACCTCAACACAGTTAGTTCTCTCTTGAGTGTGCATATGCAGAAATAGAAGAGACCCAAAAAGCAATGAAGCTGGGCAGACTGGAGTAATAGAGGAAGAAAAATTAATTAGGGAGAAAGTTAAGACTGAAACACAATATTCAGTGTTAATTTAAAAATTGCTTCTGAGTGGACAATCTAATTACAACTTGTACCATCAAAATGGTGCAATACTGGAATATAAACTTTGACAGTTCTGTACACTAAAAACCTTTAAGCTACATCCAAGTCATTGATAAAATTCTAGTCAGAACTCAGTTCAGTTTTACTTTGCCAATTAAGAAACAAATACACAATCCTATGCTTGTGGATGAAGTTTCACAGTAGCATTATCTTTTAACCTTTGTACCTTGATCTTTGAGCTTCTCGTTTTCAATTATTACAATCCCTAACATAAGACCAAGGTATGTATTAACCATCCACATCTTAGTTCAGTGAATAAGGGCTCTACATACAAACTTGCCTATCATAAGCTTCCAATTCCTCAATAAAGAACTTAATTTTTTATTCAAATCTAGATCAGCAACAATCCCTTTCACCTACTCTGATGTTATAACTCGTTTAACTACTTCAATTTTATTATAGTTGGGTAAGTTTGCCCAGTGCCTTCTAGTTTAGCAAGACTTATTGCATTAAAATCCCAGGGTTTTTTCTAGATTCCAGTCTAGCAAGGCTGATCTTCTCCCTGCTGCTCAAATATTTTACTACCCATTCACTACTGATGTTTTAAGCTTTTCAAGTCTATAATTTGCTTAAAACCTCACATCTGTGATTTGAATCAGGATCATATGCTAAATACAATCAACCATATCAGAATCACTGAAAGGAATTACAGGTGCCCGATAACTAACATCTCACGTCCATTTAGCTTCTCATTTGTTTTTATTTCCTTGGAATCAGCAATACAGCAGATTCCACAGCTTGTTTTTCTTGTTCCATTTGACATTCACGGTTTAGCAAAGTAACTTGTGCCTTTTTACACCTTATATTTAGCATTGCTAAGTCTGCTTGAGCTTCTCTGCTAACGTTACGAAAAAATTTCACAAACTTCTGAGTTTACAAGCTGTTAGAGAAATAAATCTGACTTTACAGCAAAGCATAGAGTCAAAAATTATCCACATTTTTTCCTATGGCAGTCATTCGAAGCAATTGATTCTGAAACAGTGATACTGACAACAATGCATGTGGCATTGACACCAGCCCTGAACTTGACCTCAACTGACTTCGGTGACATAGGATTAAGAGAGAATGAACAGGTCACTCAAGCCAGTCTAGGCCTTACTATTCATATTATATCATTCAGTTACTTTAATAGTACTGTTCTCTAAAACCTGTTAGATACATTTGTCCATTCCAGACCATTCTTTTGAAATTCTCTCTTTCCATATAAAGAAAAGCATCTCAAGAGTACACTAAATACAATCCTCAGCAAGCATTCTACTTTATAACCTCTAAAAATAGATTTAGGGTTACCAGTTACCAGGTAGTCATTGGCCTTCCCATTTCCTTGTTTTTATTTCAAACTGGACTAAGATGATGCTATTAAATTACACAGTCTAGTCCACAAAACTCATAATAATTGTTTCTCCTGCAGTCTTAGCCTTAGGTAAGTACTACAGTGGGAAGAGTTTATTCTTCTTTTAACAAAGAAATTAACTGAAATAAAAAAATGTATTTTCTGAACTTGCCTGTTTACACAGCAATTAAAAGCTTCTCAGCAATTTCCACTTACCTTTATTTCGGGCTCTTTTTCACATTCTTCTGTATATAAATCATAGAGTTTTTGAAACACAGATTTTCTGCAATTAAAAAAGCTTAACATGTAACCAAAATTAAATCAAAAGACATGCTATTTAAAAACTGAATACTGAAACTCTTAGTACCTTCCACTGGATAAATATTTTCTTTTGGGAGGTCTCTGACGGGCACTTTCAATGATATACTACAAGAGAAAAGTAAACCAAAAAAACCATACATTACAAAGAAATTTAATTCAATATACCACACAACTTTAGATCAGTACCAGACAGTGTTCCACGTATACAGAAAGTAATTAGCAGCCATGCTACATGACTGTTCCAAAAGTGTTCTGAACACAATCTGGTCTATGTTATAGTCATCAACAAGAACACAGCTCAGTTTAGTTGTCAAAAGTAGCATTTCATGGCTATGGCATTAGTTGCACACAAAGTCTTGATTCTGCATTCGTGTTTTTTAATTACAGTAGTAATTAACACTACTGTACTTCGCTAACGTTACTGAAGTTAACATAGTTAACACACTGACAGCAATGTGGTGAACATGCTAAGATATGACCAAATTTATACATGCTGGCTCGACAACATCTACAATCAAGTACTCCTCAACAAAACTAATTTCAGGAAGTTTAGTTTTCCCCTTGTCTTTTGCATTTACATTTGTTTTCTCTATAGAGCTGTGCATTATAAATACAATTCATTAAATATTCGTATTAAGAAAGAATAAGAGAGATATCATCCTACATTAAATATGATTTATATTCTAATAAGGTTTTTCCTAGTCACTAGTCTTTGTCTGAAGTATTTTGATTAACAGCTTAGTTCAGAATTTCAGTGAAGAGAGGATCTCCCACAGAAACATTTCCCATTACAGGAATGGTTCAAGGTAACCATTGTGTCATGTGTCAGCATGAAAGAACACAAATGTGAAGACACTTGCCTCTTTGTTCTAACTGGGCTATCCTTAAAAACAAACATGATTTTACCATATATTTCTGCAAGCTGTCTTGTACAGCTCTGCCTATTTCACAGCACACAGATGCTAGTTTAAAAAGGGAAAACTGAAGTCCTGCATAGTCTATCACCATCATACTTGATGTCTGCAGTACAATGGGTAAGACACAAATACATGACAACAATTTTAGTGAGAATTTTGTAAACTCAGTATTACATGTATGGGTGATTATTTATGCACGTACCTATATTTACATAACATGCTTTTTCACTGCTTTTCAGATGAAATAAAAATATAACTGTTGTATTTTTATAACTGTGAGATGAATATATTATGTACAAGCAAGTAATTTAGCTGCTTCTTACCTCAGCACGATCCAATGCCTGTTCTAAAGCTTGTTGCTGCAAGAATCACAAAGAGGTTTTTAGAAATTACATAACTTGCTTAAACATCCTCATGCATAAAAACACTACAAAAGCTCTACTACTGATATGGACTTAGAAGATGTGCTCAAACATTCTTTGGCACATACAGCTGAAACCTCATGTAACTGTATCACGAGGTTTGGCTACATTATGTAGCCTTAGAACAATGAAAGCCAATTGAAATTAAAAATAGGAATAGAAATTACACCTAATAAAAGCAGTTACAAATATTAACCAAAACACTTAGCAATGACAAGCAGAAAACCTGCTTTGTTAAGGTGGTCACTGATTCAACAGAAAGCCTAAGCCAAAGTGTCCCTCAACAGTTGTCCAGGAAGAAAACATTTTAACTTCTAGATACTGGTGCCCAAGTATTAATACACAAAATGGAAATGAAGATCTTGTGTTCAGAATGTTACTTCTGCACACAATACAATTTGAGAAGAGTTTCTCAACTGACATACTGTTAGGTGGCTAAGAAACAAAACCAGCTTCCACTCCAGATTTCCTCTACAGTAGGCTAAGTCTGGACAACTCTACCAAAACACAGCAAAATCTGGAAAAGCTACTGTATATCCCATTGCATAGTATACTCAATACCATTTACTTTAATGAATTTAGCTCCTCTGGAATGCCTTTCACTTCAGTATACCTGCAGCTGATATTCCTGTATTTCAAGAAGATCAAAAAGAATAATGAGTTCTTGGATTAAAATTTAACAAGTATTTCAATCCGGAATAAATAAAAAAAGAGAAAGTCTTCCTTGGCTCCTAACTTTCCTCCTCTGGCATTCACTTTAGCTCTGATGCCTCCTTTGTGTCCTTTGTGCAGGAATAACATGCAGCTGCTAAATGCACCAGACAATGAAACTGATTCGGGGCAGGGAGGAGAGAGAGAACAATACTAAGAACCAAAGTCTTGTAGGAAAATGCCTGGGACTTGATTCAGGTCCACAAAAGTACAGGGAAACAATGCATTAATTTCGGGGGCAGGTGGATAATGCCCTTAGGAATGTATTGTAACAAGCTCTAATATTCAGTAAAGCTTAGAAACACGTGTAATAGATATCTCTTCCCATATACATATTTGTGTTATTTCCTCAGTTTAAACTATCCCTATCAGCTTTTCATGAAAGCAAATACCTTTACCTGAATGTCAAGGAACAGAAGGCGTGTGAGCCATATCCAATCCAAGGTAGCACCAGTTATTTCATAGATAGTGAATATTTCATATTTTGTTATAATAGAATTCAAGGAAGAAAAACATTACACAACAACAAAGTAACAACAAAGAAATATACAACAAAAGCACTCATGCATTTTACCATTCATCTACAACATACCTAACACAAAATTTCTTACCTATTCACGAAAAAAGCCATCTACTTAATGTGCTATTACTTCTTAGAATCCACCACTACAGAATATGTAAATTTTCAAGTGTCTAGGTGTTTTAATGAAAATGTCTAATATTCATGCTTTCTATTTAAGTCTAGTGGATAACTGCATGATTTCAGATATTCAGTTTTCTGACTGCTTAACATTAGGTAACAATCCAAAGCAATATTAGGACTAGTGAACAGAATACTATGCGGAAGCAGGATTTACATGCACCCAACTGTCTACCATCAATTGTGATTGAAAACCCACCACTAGCTTCATATAACAATTCCTATGATGCACGGATCAGTGACTAAGTGTTTAGAAGCATTCATGAGCTATGAAGGAATGAAAAAAAGGAATGTCAGAGCTCAGAAGTGACATGCAAAATAATTTTTTTAAAGAAACATTGATGGTATTCTCCTCATCAGCCAGACAGCTAGCAGGCTAGAGCAAAAGGATCTGAAAATATATTATCCGAATCATAACTCACCATTGTAGTTGAGGCCACGTGACCAAACCACAAAAGAAGTACTTAGGGAGTTTGGTGCAGCAGGCAAAGAGTCATATTTTATGGTCACACTTGGGGTACTGAAAAAAAAAAAAGGAGAAAAAAGTATCACTACGAAACTAAATGAGTATTTTATTTAAATATAACATTTTTGGTAGCTAATTGTACTGAAATGTCATTTGCATAGTATCCTTTCCTCCAAATGTAGAAACAAAAGAGTTCCATTCACTGCTAGTGTAGAGGTTCTCCTTCTAACGACTACTACTCCTCTTTATAATCATTTTGCACTAGTTACATTAAATAGTAATAAGCACGTAAGTAAGTTTACATAGCCAAGTACTCTATTGCAGCAGTCTGCCTAGACATCCCACATATCACATCCTCAGATGCTCAGAAGGCTAAAATATTTGATGACAATCAGTCAGAGCGTTTAGCACACTCCATTAGTTCTTCTGTTTTGCTTTCGAGCAGGTGTTATTCCCAGTCAACACCTCCACTAGCGGTGTCTTCCAGCACTGTTTTACGATGTTAGTTTAACACTGACTCACGGCAAGCGTCTGCCGGGGCGGAGAGTGACCGAGGGCAGCAGCCGACCAGGAAGGGCCGGGCCGGCCCAACCCGAGGCTGCAGGACGGGCCCCAGTCCCGACACCTCCCGCCGCCCCCTCCCCGGCGCGGTCGGGGGAGTGCCATGCCCGGGGGACCCCCGCACTCCGCCAAGCGCAGCTACCTGTCGGCCTGTCCCGCGGAGCCCCCGGCACAGCGGCCTCGCCGCCCGCCCGACCATCAGCCCCCGCCGCTTCCGAGCCGCTCCGGAAGGGGCGGGAGCGGCGCCATGGAGAGCGGGCGGGTAGGGCGGGGAGAGACTGGCGGCGCTGTCTGGGGGGCGGAAGGCCAGAGGGTTCAGTGGTAAAAAAAGAACTGGGAGAGTTTTTCGAGGCAAAGGATTAATGCCGTCGTGAACGTCAGGATAGGTTTCCGTGTGTCTCAAGGGTGCTGTAAGGATATTTGAAGGTTTTTGGTGTGTTGACTCCCGACCAGCAGCACGTCGTGGAAACTGGTTTCTTTTGAGAGCAGAGAGGATTCAGAGTATCCTGAGCTGGAAGGAACCCACTGGGATCATCAAGTCAAGTTCCTGGCCCTGCACAGGACAACCCCAAAAATCACACCATGTGTCTGAGAACATTGTCCAGGCACTTATTGAACCCTCAGGTTTGGTGCCACAACCACCTCCCTGGGGAGCCTGTTCCAGTGCCTGACCACCCTCTGGGTAAAGAACCTTACTGTAAAATCCAACCTAAACCTCCTATGACACAGCTTCATGCCATCCCTTTGGGTCCTGTCACTAGTCACCTGAGAGAAGTCCCTCCTCTTCTCCTCACAAGGAAGTTGTAGGCTAGGATGAGGTCTCCCCTCTGTCTCCGCTTCTCCAGGCTGAACAGAGTAAGTGACCTCCTCAGCTGCTCCTCATATCGCTTCCCCTCAAGGCCCTTTACCATCTTCTTGTCCCTCCTTTGGAGCTTAATGTCTTTCTTACGTTGTAGCACCCAAGACTGCATGCAGGACTCAAAGTGAGGGTGCACCAGTGCAGAGAGGAGCCAGACAATCCCCTCTGGCGATGCTTTGCCTGATGCCCCCCAGGACACTGTTGGCCCTCCTGGCTGCCAGGTCACTGCTGACTCATATTCAACGTGCCATCAACCAGGACCTCCAGGTCCCTTTCTGCAGGAAACGTTGCCTTGTGGGTGGTGTGATAGCAATTAAGGGTCAGAGAGAGATAACCTGGGAAAGGTACAGCGGGCACATGGCTGGGGCAGCTTTGCTTAGTATGAGCTCAGTGATTGTAAAATTTACTCAGTCTTAATGCTCTGTATTTTCATAATTCTTGTTTGAGGTACACAGGAATTATTCTACAGAATGATACTGGGAACATTTAAGCCTCTTTTCTCTGTAATAAATGATTGTGTTTTAACATCTGCTTCTGGGCAACTTGCTAGAGCTGCTAGGTGGTTCATCAGATCATTATGTAAACATTATGCCATCAATTTGAAGTGATAAAAGCTAATTTTAAAATTTAATTAAAAGCCTACCATTTGTAAAGTGAAAAAATATTACTGCCTGGTTTTGGGGGTTGGTTTGTTTGTTTTTCCAGAATGTTCAATTTTCTGTAAAATCAGACAAAATAGATAAAGCAGAACTGCACAGCAGATTTGATATATTCATGTACATATTGAAAATTTGTTTGATTTATATAGTAAATAGCTAAGGGATTGGAAGCAACTTGAGAAGAAATTTACTGTGACCTCTCCCTCCAGAGAGGTTAAATAATGCCTGTATTGTTTTTGGCAGATAGTTGTCTAACAATGATCAGATCTGTCTGCAAGCAAAGTTAAATAACGTTGTTGTTGGATTTGTAACAACACATATGTTGTTACAGATTAACAAACATCACTATTGCTTGATAAAATGTCTTTATGATAAAGGATTGAAACATCATCATGTTAGGAAAACGGTTAATTTATTATTTGTATTCCTAAAAGAATAAGAACTGGGGAAAAAATATTTTAAGTTTATCTTCCCACAACATGAACAGGAGAGTCAAAGGATGTGGCTAAAATAAACTTGTCTCAGGATCACATGAGATGCCTACAGTGCTGTGTTAGATCACTTCTAGGGGCATCCATACTCTTAAGTATTTCCAAGCTCTCCTAGGCTCATCTCCACTATACATGGCACATACTGTCCCTGGGTACAGCACTTACCTGACTTGTAGCATGTTACTTCCAGGCCTTTCTAGAACTTCTAGCTGAGTCATAATTTATTTGCTCACGGCAATAAGTGAATGTTCTACCCTGTGATCCAGCAGCCAGTCCTATGGGAAAAACCACACCTAAGACTACCTTTCAATGGCTTTGTTAACCTTGCAGTGCTGACTTGTCCTAAAAAGGAGTGACTTGAAAGCTCAAGAAAGTTTAAACACTGTGAGCTCCAGGTAGCTCTGGACAGAGTGAAGTGCTTCCTGGAGGACTACCCAGGTACTCTGTCCTGGTGCTGACACTGTTTTGATTTTAGCACTGTATTCTTTGTAGCCCTTCTGTGTCTCACAGCATAGCCAAAATGTTGTGAATCATAATTAGTGATGGTGCCTAGAGTCTCTCAGAGGTTCTCAGTACATAGAAAAAAAACCTCTGATGAGATCAGTGTTTTTCAGCTGTGGGCATAAACAAGTTGGACACCTAATTTCAGCAACTGAGAAGCTACTTTATTGGTTTGTTAGGAGCCCATATTGTTCCTGAACACCAGAGAAAAGGTAATCAGGATCCCATCTTGGTCCGGGAGCAGGTGGCAGTTCTTCCTCAACTCATCCAGGCACTTAATAGATGTATGGTACAGCAGTTCTGCAGCTGCATTTGATCCAGCTTTGAAGTTAGCTCACCTTTGAGCATGCAGTTGGGCTACCTTTTAACCTAAATGTTTCTAAACTTCTGTGCTGTATGCCATCTTCTTCACATTGCCCAGTAACTGTAAAAGTTGTCAGAACATAATTGTCATTGTGAAAGCCACTTTTGAGTCAATTTTGTTGTTCACTGAAGAACACTGGGAATGTGAGAGTGCTAAACTGTTAGCTGGGCTTTGTTTTGAAAGTATTAATTATAATTTTTTTTATTTCAGCTTAAGTCTGTAACTTTCTGTATTTTGGTGGGATTAAATAGTTGAACATGGCAAAATACAGGCATAAATTAAATCTCATTTCATCTCAGCTTCATCTGATGCTCAGAGCAACATTGTGGAGTTCTGGCTCACCACCAGTGGCAATCTGCAGGAAGTTCTTGTGTGTCTAAACTCTGTCCAATGTTTCACTTGGATTAGACAAGCTACCTCTCTCTGCCCAGCAACATTCTCACCCCCTTTGACAGATCTACACATTAACATGTTCTTTTGCCATGGTCTAGCTTGGTGAGCGTGACGCCAACTCTTAGTTGACTGCACAATCTGTTACTTTTCAGTGCCCATCTGATCAGGTCTTCTGTTGGCTCATGTTGTGTTGCTTTGGGAGCAGCTCTTTGCCAGTGTGCCAAATGCCAGAAAGTCCCACAGGCATTTACTGCAGAGAAACGGTCACTTGAGTAGCTGCAGAAGTTTCATAAGACCTTCTATCCAAAGGCTTAGTTAATATTCCCAATGTCATATTTTCTGGTCCATTCCTCTAGAAAGATTATTGTTATGTGGAAAAAATTATCACTTTACTCTCAGCTATTCACTGTTTGGCTGTAGAAAATGAAAGATTGGCACTTGAGCTGTGTTCTTAGCCTGTACCACCAGGGTTCATGTTTTGAGTGCCTTTTTTCTCCAGTTTAGGCTGGAATGAGGAGATCTAACCTCTCAAGAGTGTAATGCATAGCCCTGACATGCCTGAAGACCCCAAAATACCTGATATCCAAGGCAGAAACATTTTCTCAGAGCTCAGCAGTAACCTGTGTTATGTTTGGTCACCTGGAGGGTGTATGACCTTTTTCCAGAGCTGCCTCCAGGTTGAGATATGTCTGGGCTGGAGAATCTGGCCAAAATCTACCTATTGGTGTGTGGGTTTTGGCTTGTCTAACACAACACTGACATGGGTGAGAAACAACATAGATCTATTACTGCAATGTGAGCCTTTGTTTACAAAGGCATGGGCTTTCTTCTCAACAGAGGAACTAGGCGTCTTAGATCATGGATGGTTTTGCGAATTCTCTCAACATATTGTCTCTTTATGCCCTCTTTGTCCCCTTATCAGAAACTAATTAATATGGATTCCTTAGTGTGCGCAGCTGGAATAAATGATGAACATATGGCCAACTTTTACACAATGACAGACAGTATTACAGTTATGGTCTTGTGAATGCTTAATGTTATCTGTTCTAAGTCTATTATGGTCATTCTACCATCTTCTGCTTGACTTGGCATATATTAGTCATATGTATTTTACTGAAAATTAGTCTTTTCACTGCAGATAGTTTGTCACTGGAGCTAACTAGCTAAAAATCACTTACATGACAGTAATAAATCTAAGATCGTTAAAACTAGAGGTATAAAACATCAGTGTCAATCAAAACAATTACTTTCTTTATAATTCTATTAAAAATATGCAGCAAGAGATTTTTGGGACATTCTATCCATGTCCTTATCCTCCTGCAAAGATTGTAGGATTTGTGATGATGGTTTTGAGATAGGAAAGATTGGTGATGGGCATTTAAATACTGTAATACATTTCTGAATTTTGTTATACTTGCTCAGAATAGGAGTCACTAAATTCAGAGACTTTTATTCTGAATTCAGTGATTAACTTGGGAGCACTGGATGTGCTTTCCTGGTCATTTAACTACTGATTGTACTAGGTGAACTTCCTCATCACCATCTTCGTTTCCAAGGAATTCTGAGCATCAGGCTGAGATAATTTGAAACATTAACTTCTATATAGTCTTTTCCCTCTTAAATGACCAGAGTTGATTTCATGAGGAAAATTGCCTTCCCTAGTTGCTCATTCTTTTGGAAATCTTAGACTTTCCTATACCAACTCATATTTTCTTCATTTCAATCCAGTTGTCTTTGTGTTCTCTGTGCTCTCTACAATCCACGTGGAAAAGCCTGAGGACTTTGAAATAGCAAAGCTGGAGGTTTGAAACTGATCTGGGAACCCAATGACTTTTCCAGTGAAAAAAATGGAAAATCAGTCCTCAGGGCTGGTCGTCCCTCTTGTTGCTTGTCCATCTTGTCCATCCTGTCCATCCTTGAGTGTAACCCACTTAAAGAACCATCGTCAAAGGTATTGGCAAAAAGCAAGTTTTAATATGAATTTGTGAAAGTGCAACTTTAACAGAGTTTGATGGCAAGGTTCACTCTATTGCTTATTATGTAGATGGAACATACAGAGGAAAATTGGATTGGAATCAACCCAGAATAATTTACACAGAGACTGGGGATTCAAAGATGAAGGTGCAAAGGATATAAACACAAAAGATAAGGGTGCAAAAGGGTTTAGCAGCACTTAATTATTAACTGATTTAACAATTAAAAAGTGATTAAATAGGATTTACTACAATTAAAAGCAGTGACTTAATTATAGATTCATAATAGCAACATTCACGCCATAATCAATTCACACAGATGCACACAAGCAAAGAGAGGTATACAGCTATATCTAAATGTGTAAAGGTACCTATTAAAAATTCCCCTCAGGTTCAGTGAAATACTCTCCTCAAATCCCTTAACGTTCCTCAACAGGCATAGGTTGCACCTAGAGGAAGGCATGTGGGAGGTGGGGTATCAGCCTAGCCCTTGTCATCAGCGACAGTCTTTTCTGTATTGCAGACTTGAGGGTTCACGAGTTCTGGGGTGTGTCACACTCAGAGGGAGGTGCTGGTACAGCCCACTGCAGTCCAGGAGAGCTTAAAGGGCCTCATTTAGGACCACTGTTTATAGGGTCGCAAGTTGATTGTCTTTAGTCATCCTCAAAGTTTCCATCCTCAGGTTGGTAATTGCTGAAGTTTTGAAAACATTTGAAAATTGTTTCCAAAAGTCCAGCAACAATGGTAGCGTTCCACTTGGGCTACCATTCAGGTAGGGAATATTCCAAGACTGTCAGTGGATGACTAGCTTTGTTCCCCACCTTGGTCAGGCAGTTAATGGTTCCTGTTATTGTCAGTGTTGTTTCCACCTTTTCTGTTCAAGGGCTCCTGGTATGGTCAGGGGCACTTCACTGTCCAGCTGGCACTGGATGCTTCACCAGCTGGTAAAGGATGCTTCACTGCCCAGCTGGTTTGGTCAAGGCTTGTCAGGAACTCCTGAGATTGTAGACAACAAGGGAGTGTACCACCACATGTCTACATCACCTTACAATTTGTTCCATCTATTTTTTAATTTGTCCATCTTCTTATTTTCTTCTTTGTGCAGCATATGGCATTTAAAAAGCCATCTTTTCAAGATCCCTTATTACCATTCCTCATACGCATGCAGAGCATTTGAAGACAGATGCTATCCAAGAAATAATGCAGTGAGTAATCTTGTAGTTTACTGGCTAAATGTCATTGACAGCTCTTGCTTTCAAACAGTGCTTTCTCCATCAGAATGGGAAATGGCAACAGTGAATACTGAAAGCCATTGCCCCCCATTCTTTCTGTGCTTTCATTAAGCTTTCCATTTTCTCATATATGAGTTTTTGTATTCTGTTTCTCAGGAAACTGTTAACTGAGAACAAGACCCAGTACAGGATTTCAGGCGGGGTCATTTCAAATGCATGAATACTGTGGGACCCAGTTTTGCCTCTACCTTTGCTTTCCTGTGTTTGCATTATGAGGGGAAGGCCTTGGAGAGAACAGGCATTCTGCATTTCCTTTTCTGCAAGCCCTTCTAGCGTTGACTTTTTTGTACTATCTTGTTTGCAAGATCCCACCATTTTCTATACTACTGGCCTCTCAGCACTAGAAATTTGGTATTATAGAATGTTGTTTACCCATTTGCCCAGATGATTTTTGAGTGTGTTGAGTGGCCCAGGTCCTTCACAGTCACCTGTGGAGTCTTACTGGTTCCCTATAGAAACAGGCTGTTTATTCTTTCTTTTGGATTCTTATTTGCTCTCAAAACTCCATGTTCTGTCAGTCTCTAAATCCAACCTTGATTCCCTGTAGTCCTCTGTAGGACTTCATGCAACTTCTGCAGTCTTGTCAGTTGCCCTTAGGCCCTCATCATCCCAGCAAACTGAATTCTGTTGTTTGACTTAGCAAGTGTTGTTGTCTGCCCATAACTCAGTGTCCCAAGCTCCTTTTTCTGATAGCAGCATCCCCCTTTTAGACCTCAGTAGGAAACATGATTTTCTTTTGTTTGAGTCAAGAACCTTATATGGTATAACAGATGAGAGGAACAGATTAGAGTCTGTATACCCCATGCTCCTAAAGGCTAGTGTGCTTTATTACAGAAAGGGCTCTGCAGTGGAAATCCACCAACTAGATGAATCAGCACTTGAGTTTAGCTGACTCTAGAAAGACAATTCAAGTTTGTTGATAACTGCATTTGAGTTCTTACATATAGACGTCTTCTTAAGGTCCCTCCATTCTTCATCCCTTTCACTGTGGCTTTTCTGCCTTGGGTCTGCAAAATTGGTTTTGTTCTGTAATACTGACAGAACAATACTAGACAATACATTTTAGTTCTCTCAGCATTGTTTATTCACTGAATTAAGCTTTGAAATCAGTTGATCCTACTCTCACAGCCCCACAAGAGGAAGAAGGAATAGCTATGCTGCTGCAAGGATCTTTTGGGAGATTAGCTATGGCAGAAATGTTTGCAATGACTCTTCTTTCCCTTCTGAGACTGAGGGGAAATAAATCCATTCCCTTGGAAAGGTACTTTCCTGCGCGTGCAACCCCAGGTACCTTCTTGGGACAAAAGCTCTCAGTTTCTTACATCCCCTTTCTTGCCTACCTGTTGTCCTAAGTGGACAAAGCCCTCAGCAATGTGGTCTACCTGCATAGCTATCTTGCCATGAACAGGCAGATAGGCTTTTCAGGTCCTGAATTAACTGAAAAAGAACAGTGAGCTCAGTTATCTATAAAAAGGCCAGTCAAAGATTGACTATAAATCTCTAATACCTATTATTAGAGCAATTTTTTTCCAGAATTTCTTAGACAAGTACCAACTT